CACCCAGAAACCGCCAGGGAGATCCTCTGCGGGCCCGCCTTTTCAAACCGCCCCATAAAAGAATCCACGCGCTTGCTCATGTTCGATCGAGCCATCGGATTCGCCCCGTACGGAAATTACTGGCGCCGGCTTCGCAAGATCGCTTCGAGCCACGTGTTCTCTCCTAGGAGAATATCTAGCCTCGAGGGTTCCAGGCACGCGATTGCGAACGACATGGTTGAAAGAGTGTGCGTCGAGATGAACGAGAGAGGGTTCGTCGAGTTGAGAGGGATCTTGCAAAAGGGTTCTTTGGATAATATGTTGGAGAGTGTGTTTGGGATTAATAGTGATAATGAAGGGGGTGAGTTATTAGGGTTGATGGTTAAAGAAGGGTATGAGGTTATGGGGGAGTTTAGTTGGGGTGATTACTTTACATTAGGGTTTTTGGATATTAGTGGGGGAAGAGAAGGTGCAATATATTAGGAGGTAGGGTTAGTGATTTGGTGACTCTTTTTTTAAAGGAAAGAAGAAAAGATGGTGATTTTAAATTGAGAAAAGATTTTTTAAGAGTTTTGCTTTCTTTGAAAGAAGAAGATCTATTTCTAGATACAGATATGGTGGGTGTTCTATGTGTATAGACACACATTCCTCCCTTCATTTTTTTATTTTTATATATATATATATATATATATATATATATATATATATATATATATATATATATATATATATATATATATATTCATCTTGTTCATGAGGAATTATTAATTATAACTATTTCTATGCATGCATCAAAAGAAGAATTTGTTGTTTAGTTTAATTTTAAATACTAAAAAAATATATACAATCATTTGCATATAGCTAGAAAGTAAAAAAAAATTATAGACTATAATGAGAAATTGAGAATATTATCAAAGAATTATGCCTTTTTTAGCCATTATTATGAATTATGTGCATATTTTGTAGATGTGTTGGATTAATTAACAGATATTGAAAGTAAGTGACGGAGTCGGTATAGGGTCAGGGGGCCACGACCTTCCCAAAATTTCTCAAATCACTATTAATTTGTTTAGAAATATAATTTTTTTTATACAGTAGTTTTAACGGCCCCTCTCATAAACTTTTTAATGCATTCCGCCCCCACAGGCTTAAAATCATGGCTCCTCGCTAATATTGAAAGTATATATTACTCCTTTTTTTTGGAAATTTTAAATTTATCGTTTTTCAACTATTTTGGATGAAGTAAATAAAGCAAAATATTTGTTTTTCCTTAATTTTTTTTAATTAAAAAAAAAAACAATTGTTGAATGAAAGTCTTGGCAAAGACTGGGGGTCAATTTGCTGGCAGTTGTTTGTTAATTTCACGTGAAATGGATCTATAGAAATATAAAATTGACTAAAGGAGGTCAAAGGCTAAAGTTGATACACTTTGTAAAACCTTTGACTAAATAATACATATAGTAATCTCATGATTGATCTTTTTGCATTTGTTTTTACTTAGTATCGTGTGTGCTGCGTGTGCGTATCTACCTTTTTTATTTTTCCTTTTTTTTCCTTTTACTGCAAAAAATAATTAAAAACACATATTATATACTAGTATGCACAAATTTAACTTCAATAATATATACTAATGTATATTTGATTTAATAATATAATAGGAGATGGTATTTCGAGGAGTCGATAACATCGCTATACTCCTCGAATGGATCATGGCTAGAATGGTCCTTCACCAAGACATTCAAGCCAAAGCGCAAAACGAAATCGACGCATACATCGGTCATCAAACAAGACACATTCAAGATTCAGACATTGCGAATCTCCCTTACCTACAAGCCATCGTAAAAGAAGTTTTGAGACTACACCCACCGGGCCCACTACTCTCGTGGGCCCGCCTAGCGATCCACGACGTCCACGTGGACAAGTGCTTTATTCCAGCTGGCACGACCGCAATGGTGAATATGTGGGCCATAGCTCATGATGCTTCAATATGGGCCGATCCGTGGTCTTTTAGGCCCGAAAGGTTCGTTGAATTAGGAGACTTTTCTATTATGGGCTCTGACTTGAGGCTTGCTCCTTTCGGGTCGGGCCGTAGGGCTTGCCCTGGAAAGGCACTCGGACTAGCCACGGTTCATCTGTGGCTGGCGAGAATTCTGCAACGGTTTAAATGGCTTCCGTCGCAAACGGTTGATCTTGGAGAGTGTTTGAAGCTCTCTCTTGAGATGAAGAAACCATTAAGATGCTACGCAGTTGGTCGACAATAATATTACGTACTAATTAATTTTTAATCATATTGATCATCTATTATGTATTTTTATTTTATGATGTGTTTCATTCTATTTTGTATATACATATATATCGTGTATACACATGCATTTAATATATGACATTCATCTAATGGGTGTAATATACATAATGCTAAAATTGTATAATTAGTTGAGTGTGGTCTCTAGTTTGTATGAATAATTCAGTATTGAAGTTTGGTTGCTCATTTCTCTTTTGTAAATGAATATCTTATTTATTTATTTATTTATTTATTTATAGAAAAGTATATATGATATGATGAAATATTTTATTAGAAAAAAGAGATGATGAGAAAAACATTATTATTAGGGATGTGATAAATGTCGTTCGAGTTTTAATAATATCGTTTCAACTTCAAACGTGATTTTGATCATTTTTTATTCCAAATTTTGCAAAACCCGAAAAATAAAATTTGTAGTATTCTGAGATAGTTTTCTAATCCAACTTGAATCACCAAAATTGGATGTCGGACGAGAAAGATATACATGAATCAATGGATACTGCCTATTGATGTATTGATGTATCTAAAATTCAAAATGTGACTCATTCATGCATAACTTTGTTGTCACACGACATCCAATCTAGCGGATTTAAGTTGGATTAGAAAGCTAACCCAAATGACTATAGTTTTCGTGTTTCGAATATTGCCAAAATCAAAATAAATATATGTCAAAATTAAGTTCAAAGTCAAAACGACATTAATAAAATTGAAACGGCATTTACCATTTCAGTATTATTAATTATTAATTAAACATAAAAAAAGGCTCAAACATTGCGCTAAAGTTGTGGCTTTTGACATAAGATTATCTCGTTTCCCATTCGCCCCGTGCCAAAGCATGAAAACAAAGTTAGCTAGAGTCTACACTCTACAATATTAATTAGACTTTTTAAGTTATAATTATAGCATAGCAATGATTTGATTGTTATGGGACCCTTGGTTTTAATCTATCTGTTTCGACTTTCATTAAAGCAATTGTCAAAAGCTATCATAATTACTAATTTACCCCTACGTGTTTCTCTACGTTTTGATCTTTAGCCAAAAAAAAGGGGGTTGAAGACAAAATTGCATTAATAAATATCAAGTTTTATAAATTTTATACTTGGTGAAATATATTTTATGCAGCTGGTAAATCGAACCCCGTAACCTTGACACTAATACCACTTGTAGGACCTCAGGCGCTACCAGTTGTCCTAAACCAATTTGATGTTAGAAAAAACCTAAACCTTAGCCTTATAGTGCAATTCAACAAACACAATCTCCCACGACATTTGATTGTGAACCGCCCATACCCAAACCTCCCACGTGGACAATTGCTGCCAAACCCAGGCTAACATGCTTTACGTTAATTAAATTGATGCTATTTTCTTTAACAATTGAGATTACTCAAAAAATATTATGAATTGTATTAGATATAGAAATCTGAAAAAATATTCAATACATATTCGAAAAATTCGAAAAAATTTTACAGATACATCTTTAAAAATTATAAACATGATAAGATTTCCAATATAAACTCCAAAATTTCAAGACGTTCCAAATTCAGAACGGATTTTCCAGGTTTAAAATTTTCGAATTGGAATTGTAAGTCATTTTTTACTTAAAAAAATTGAAAATTACGAATATGTAAATTTCCGTTCCACTCGATTTCCATCCCTAATTCAACTAGTGAACAATGGATAGTTTGATGGGGAAATGTGAATATCAATTTGAATCTTCAGAACTTTTGGTCGGATCTTTTAAGTTCGGCCCATAATATCTCATAATCTTATTTAGAACTCAAATTGACAAAAAGCCCATGCCCAATCAATATTCAACCCGACCCGACCCGACCCGAATCCATCAACTTTGGATACCCGACAAATAGATCCACTCGTACAACATTTGTAGCTCGAGTTTCAAATTTTCAAAAACCTAAAAGATTCTCCACACGAGGACTCCCACTCTATTAAATTCACCACCACAGTTTTCCTTTTTTTTGTTTTTTGTTTTTCTTTTCCTTTTTAAACGGATCAATGAAATCCATAATATGTTCCAAAATTAAGTTATGGTCCTTGCACTTACTAAGTATTACACTTCCAACCAATTTTGTTTTTAACAATTTCAAATCCAATGATTGGGATCTAATCTCAGAGTTTAAATAAATTTAAAATAAAATAGGGTAAGTTACGGTCAGCTCTTGAGGTAAGGTCAAATTACGAAAACCTTTCATATTTGGGTAATTACAACCACCCCTCAATTATGAGTCTTCTTATACATTAATCTTTGCGGTATCAAATTTAGTGGAATCTTCTAGAATATGTAGAATATTTTCCAGTTTGTACCCGATTTATCATATTCAAGCTTCATATTTTGAAACAAGGCGATCATAAGATGTGTCTCTTGGCTTGTAAATATCAGGTTGTGGTACATCAATAACACACAAAATGAGTACAACACTAGAGAACATTTCACGAAATCTAGAAGATTATTTTTGACACCATAATAATGAACGTGTAAGAAGATTTATAGTTGATGGGTGGTTGTAATTATCCAAACATGAGGAGATTTTCATAATTTGATCTTACCTCAGGGATGGTCGTAATTTACCCAATAAAAAAAATTAAAAAATTTAAATAGTTCACTAATTTTTAAACCAAAGAGTTTGTGCCTTCATTGTAATTTCGTTGAATAGAGGGACCTTTTGAGTAAAAAAAAACTGGCAAAATGATAGTAACAAAATTTGAGAGAAGGTCCCCTACACGCAATATCAGCTAAAAGCGAGTACACAACTTTATACACACGCGCAAGTACGCATACTCCCCCCAACTCATTCAGTCCAAAAGGACAGAAGTCGTAAATTAAGGAAAGAGGAGAAATTTTCAACCCATTTTCACTTTTTTCTTCGGAGCGAAAGAAATCAAAAAGAAAAGAAAAAAAACAATTCGATCTCATTTCATTTCCCTCTATTTTTCTCTTCGATTTCTCACTCTTGGAGGGAAAACAGAAATTTTCGATCTACTTTCAAAAATATTCTACTGATTAATTTAATAAAACCTCAAAAAAAAAAAAAAAATCACTCTCCTCTCCTTACTAAATTGCTGCTAGCAGCTCAACTTTGAATCTTCAGGTATGATTTTGGTTTACGAATTATTGAGTTTGTTTTGCGGTTTACAATAGTATTTCTCCATGTTTTTTTTGGCTATAGTTTATGTTGTTTTCTTCGTAGGATTTTAGGGTTTTAGATTAGCTGAAGTTTGGGCTAATTGTTTGGTGAATTTGCTGGAAGATGAGCTAATTTTATTATTATTTTTTTTTTTAATTTCTGAAAATGGATTAATTAAGTTTGCTGAGTTAGCTGCAATTGAATCATGATCTAGAACTTCTCCGAGCTCTAATTTTTAATAATTCTATGTTTTTTTCACAATTATTTCCCAGTGAAGATATGAATTTGTAGCGTCTGCCATTAATTTAATTTCGATTACGTTATGTCGAGTTTCTCATTTATGTAAGCAACATTGGGTTAATAGATTTTGTAATTGTTCTTCGTATTGGGTCTCGATTTTAAATAGGGTTTTGTTTACTTGTAAAATTACTTACCTTTGTAATGATTGGGATAGAAGACTTTGTCTTTTTGAATGTAAAGTATTTTGCTGAAGTGTGATGGGAACATCTGCAGGTGGGGATAAATCCTCCCTTAATGTGCAATGCAGACCAAGAAGAAAGCTGCGAAAAATTCTCGAGAACTTGGTAATCCAAGGGTTACAAGACAGCAAAAGAAACTGGTCGATAATGTGCAAGTCCAGTCGAAGAAAGTTACGGAGCTAATAACATCTTCTGCTAGGAAGAAAAAAGTCGGTAAGTAGGTTCTTGAACCCATTATCCGATATTATTGCCTTCAAATAGGCCTCTTTGTTGATAATTGTAGGCATGATATATATATATATATATATATATATATATATATATATATATATATATTTAATCACTGATGTATTAACTGATAAAAGGAAGACTCGATCTTCTACTTCTTTCTCTTGGTGCATTTTTCATTTTTGTAATGTATGGATCAGTTTGTAATTCTTCTTTTCTTTGTCTCTTGCCTTCGATTCTCTTAATCTCGACCGAATCAGTAGTTTTTTTCCCCTACATTTTCTCAATGGTATAACTCACCATAGGCTAATGCTTTTAAGATAGGTTTTGATGCAACTCAATTTATATGGATTTGCAAATAGATTAACATATTTGGGGTCCATGTTGCAACTTTCAGTTGGCACTCTTACAAAGGCAATCGAGCAGCCTGTTGATGGAACAAATCTGGATACCAAATTCACGTCGGCCGAAGTTGATGATTCCAATATATGTTTGGACTACCGTGCTGAGCACGAATTTCATAATTCTTTTGTAAATAAGGTAATTACGTGCTTTATACATGCAGAATTTCTTTCACAGTTACTTCTCTCTGACATTATCCCTCAAATGGAAATGGATGTTTGCTATGTTTTTGCATTATTAATTGGCATTTATCCTTTTAAATGGAGTTTCACAAACTTTTTGTTATACATTTGTCTTGTGTTAGGAGCACGATGATAGGGCTGATAGTTCCGTATCGGACACCATATTTTCTCCTACGTTTCACATTGCAAGAAGTGCTGGAGGAGAAGTTTCGAGGGAAGGTGTGCCATTTTAAATTAATTTTCTTTTTACTATTTTGCTGTTTGCATTTTCTAATGTATCTATTCACCACATTCAATTCTCTTCCTTGGACAATATTCCAGCAGATTTCTATAATTTCTTTCAGCATGGCGACCAGCAGTTTCAAGACTGCTGGAAAGATAACATCCAAATGGATTACCCTGGTACAATATAAAAAACAAATACAAATACTATTAATTACCCCCATAAATTCCATTATTAATTCGGTATATCTTGCATTTAGGTGTTGGCACTCTTTCGCCTGAAGTTTCAGCTATATATCTCTCCATGAAGAATTCAAATCTAGAATGCATTGACGAGAACAATCAGGATCACATGTCGGCAGATGTACGTCAGGAGGAGGAAGCTGCTGCTGCTGCTGCTGAAGAATATGATGATTTCGACCCTTACTTTTTCATAAAGAATTTACCAGAGTTGTCATCTGTGGTCCCCACATTTCGGCGTTTGCTATTGCCTAAACAAACAAGAAGCTGCCCATCAACCTCACTTGTTCTCGACTTGGATGGTAAACATATTTTTAGTTTTTTTATTGTCCTTTTTTAGGAGTGTTATTATTCTGGAAGGATGATTATCGTAATTGAAATATTCAGCTGTGATCATGTGTTTAGCCTGTTAACTTCCGATTTATGTTGGTCGTTAGGTATTGGGTGATTAAACTAATTGATATTCGTGTTTTTTTACTTGTGGCTGGTTTGGTTATGATTCCTTTTAGTTTTAAAATATTTGTAGGGATATTTGAATTATCATTTATGATTGTAATGTATCTAACACTAGGTTTTGGACTCTAGGACTGATTTAACAATTATTTGTCTGCTGGCTTTAGTCAAACGTATCAATAATTGTGAAAAGTAAGTAGATCTATTGTCCTATTAAACTGCCAAAATGATCCAAAATAAAACTCCCTGTACATTGGTATATTACGGGTGTGTGCGAGTTTGCTTGTTTACACTTTCATAGTCTCCTTAACGAAGAAAATGAATTCTTGGACCAGCAATTTCCTGCCGCTGTTTTTATTTGTATGTCTGTTTCTTGCTTCTATCGTTGATTTGTGGATTATAACAAATGAATTTGTCAGCACTCGTTTTCTTATGGTGCCTTTGCCCGTAGTCGTTTGTGTATTATCTGTCAATGTTTTAGCATCCTTTTTCATGATGGCATTGACATGCAATTAATATGTTTGGCAGAGACATTGGTGCACTCTACACTTGAGCCGTGTGACGATGCAGATTTCACTTTCTCTGTTAATTTTAACCTAAAGGAGCACACAGTGTATGTCCGATGCCGCCCTCATCTTAAAGATTTCTTGGAGAGGGTGTCGAGTCTTTTTGAGATTATTATATTTACTGCTAGTCAAAGCATTTACGCCGAGCAACTCCTAAATGTTCTTGACCCAAAGAGGAAAATCTTTCGCCACCGCGTTTATCGCGAGTCCTGTGTCTTTGTCGATGGGAATTACCTCAAAGACCTCTCGGTTCTTGGCCGTGATTTGTCTCGTGTCATTATAGTCGACAATTCTCCTCAGGTAACATTGACACTAAACCATTCTTTACCTATCAAATAATTTTTTTTTGTGTGAATATGACAATATTAATATCCTTTTTCCAACTGTATAGATGTTATGTTGCAGTTGGTTTTGTTTGACTGCATGAGGAAAATTCACAAAAAGCGTAATTTTATGTCAGAAGTAGATTTTCAGTATGTAGTACAGAAAAAAGTTATTTTGGTTCAAATTATAAGATTTAGATTTCAGACTTCAAAAACTCGCTCGGAGATTTTGAATTTTAGGGTTTGAATTTATGCATTAAGCTAAAAAAAAAAAAAAAAATCACAAACTAAGCCTTCATTACCCAATTTCAGTTTTTGTCGATCTGTTTTCAGTCCGAAAATTGTTAAGTTTTTTGATTATGTTCTAACACGTGGTGAATATCAACTCGATTCTTGTCCACTAAATTGTGTAGGTTTATATTTTGGCTTATATAATCTGAGAATTTGGGTAAAATAGAGGGTAATTTTCGTGGAGATAGCACCACTCTCTTTGATTTGTCAATTTATCGAGTTTACTCGACATTCGAGGCTTATTAAAATATCTCGTTTCTTGTTTTTTTTTGTTTATTTTGCAGGCTTTTGGTTTCCAAGTGGACAATGGAGTACCAATTGAAAGCTGGTTCGACGATCGGTCCGATACAGAATTATTATTATTGCTTCCTTTCTTGGAAAGTTTAGTCGGAGTTCAAGATGTGAGGCCTCTTATTGCCGGAAAATTCAATCTCCGGGAGAAAATAGCAGCGGCAGTTTGCCCTCTAGATTACAATGAAGGAGAGCCCATTTGAAAAAAAAATTAAAATAAAAAGAGCTCTAGAATTAATACGGAGAAGATAAATAATCCCACCGGTAAAAGCAGTATGATCACAGGCCATTTGAGGGTTCTGCTGCTCTTGCGCTCCTCACATCTCTCTTGCTCTAACACTTGGACCGAAGTTGGTTAGGGTCTTGGAAATTTAACCTTTGTTGGAGAAAATAATTTAGTTGATACGACGCTCGGACAATCTTTTTTTTAATTTTAATTTTCATTTTATTTTTTAAATGGATGGTCTATTTATTCCCTTGGATTTTGTTGTTCTTTATACATGGTGAACTTTGTATTTGTGCATTGTTTCATTCGGTGTTACTTTATACTTTCGGCATGTGTGTTTTGATGTTTTGATCGATATGTTGTGTGTTTATCAATTCAATACTTTGCTGATGCTTGTCCCACATGGTTAGTGTTAGTTTAGTTTGGTTTTCATCTCTCGTATGGTTTGCAAGCAAGCTATTATATTAGTATGTAATTTATCCGGTGTATTTATACTATTGGCTGCGATTCTTTTATTGAAAAAAATAAAAATAACATATATGAGTTTTAATGCCAAAATTCATGATGCATTACCAACTCTGAGGGAATTTGGCTAAGCTTATATTAATAGTTTATAAGATATTTAGGAGCAGTTTTTCCGAAGTGTTTGTTTATTTCTTTAAAAAAAATCTTAAAAATTCAAAAATTAAGTTGTTGTACCTCATTTTTTTTATTAAAATGATGAGTAAAAATAGCTTATAAGATTATTATTCAAACATGTTAAAATATAATTTAACAACTAGTCAATTCTTAAAACAACTTATCAGGTAGAAGAATTTATCAATTGTTTAAAATAATAATGGTCAAACGGGCCCTTAATTTAAAACTTTTTCTGCATTTGTTTGTGTAGGCATTAATTTGTTCTTGTGAGTTGTGACACTAATGAACCTTTAAAAATGGCAATCATATAAAAAAAAAATAGACCAATGCTCTTTCAGTTACCGCTATAAGGTTGACTAAATAGTAGGGGCTAGTAACACATTTAATTGACAAGATTTACTCTTTCAAACTCAGCTACTAAAATCAAGGTCTGCTATTAGATGCTATTATTTCATTAAATTAGTAGCACTCTCTCTTGCTCTACTCAAAAATAAATTTAATAGGGGGTGACTAAACAAGTAAAAAACTAGTTTATCCTTCAAACTACATGTTAATTTTGTTACGTAAAATGTTTTATAGATAAATCACATAATAATACTAGAATTTAAATTTAATACAAGATTGAATCAAAATGAACCAAACGTCTTACTACCTAAATAATTAATTAATCAGTAGAAAATTAATCTCAATCTTATTTAATCCAAACTAATTCATATTAGTTAACCGCACGAGCCCTAACTATCTTGATCAAACAGGGCAAAAAGTGAAAACTATTATTTTCAACATTTTTTTCCGGTTAGATTTTTGTTTGAATCTTTCAATTTTTGGTACCAAACGAGCTTTTTATATTGCATTGTCCGTAATAAAAATTTGTGATACACAAATCCGGTGTATTTCACTTGATATAACATTTATAAAATCGTTTTAGTTCAATTAATTAGTTCGATTTAGGTATATATAACTTGCAAGGTTTGCAATTCTTGTCCAATGAGGAACATTTTGATATCAGTTTAAAAAATATCCCCATAGCCTTTTGCGCCTTCATTTGATGAATTCCGAAGATACCCTTTCTTTTGTACCGAAATTACAACAGTCTGGAATGGTTGAATGCATGTTCCGCGTGCTCGTTTAACCACAGTTAGAAATCACTTTAACTCCGGTACAATTTTCTACTTAACCACGGTTTAATACTCCGGAATCCGCACATATATAAATACCCGCCCCGACGCTTTTCATATCCCGCCAGTTCATTCAGCTCACGAATTCCCAACTCCACAACAAACTTTCCAAAGTTCAAATTCAAAATTCTCGTTTCTCTCTCTCTCTCTTACTCTCTCTCCTCTTTCGTCAAGCAGCAATGGTGAGCAGAAGGAAAATTTCAGCAGCTCGTTTCACATTTTCCATTTTGAATGTAAAAAAAGCATCGCTGATATCGTCTCACTTCTCCGATTTCAGGTGGTTGCGCAGAAGGTGAAGGAGTCGGAGATCACAGAGCAGGACTCGCTTCTATTGGTAAATTCACTCATTTTTTTTTTCATTTTATAATTTCTGAATTTTTTTTCCATGTTTCTGTTCATGCCTTTTTGTTTCTTCGCACGAAACAGCTTGTCATCAGTTTTTGATACTGATGTAACTATTGCGTGATTCTGAATTGTTTTCTGATTTTTTGAGTTCCACTGTTTCGTACGGATCAGATCTACTTGTTTTGTTTTGGTTTGCTTCAGCTCCGATTTATTTGCGCTTGGCAATTTGCAGATAATCGTACTGATGTTTTATTGTTTGTAGATTAATGTTGATTTTCGATGTTTTTAGTGTTTGTATTCACATTATCTGAGGTTCGTTGAGTTAAATTAGCTTCTGATTGTCCTTCTCTCTCTAGTTTACTGAATCATGAACGTCAATCTGTTGGATCGTTCTCTGCAATTATTTTTGAAACCACATATAAATTTATTTTGTGAGATATTATTCACGACTGGACTCATCTGTTACATAATTGGTAAATTTCACGAAATTCCTGTCAATTCGGATCTAGATTATTTGGTATCCTTCAAATTTCTGAGTAAGAGCGCAGTTCTACAACTGCTAGGTTGTTTGTTCTGTGATTGAATGTTAGTTGAGAGTATGTTATTTTGGATTCAAGTGTTATGTACATACAGAGTACGCTCTGTGTGATCTGGAATTCTTCAATAAATAATATTGATTAGTTATAGTTTTAGGGATAACCTCTGAAGAACATTCAATTGCCTCTGTTTTCTGCTATTCAGAGAGTAAAACAATATATGGCTGCCGTGGTAATAATTATTTGGCAGATCTGGAATATTTGGCCTTCAAAGAATAAAATCAATATCTGGAGTTACTCGTAGTACTCGCTATTTGATGTTTTTAACTGTGTTTTAATTAAATGAACATTGTTGTTAATCTGGAAATTCGTTGCTCTTATAAGTTATGCGGGTTAAATTTGCATACTAATCAGTTTAGTAGTGTTTTAATTGTTCGGTACTGAGAAATCTGTACGTGGCATAGTTTGTACGGTCTTATATGATGTATGTTGGTAATTGGTTACTTGATAAAATCTCGATTGCTACCAAAATTTGCTTGAGCTAGGATGAAGTTACATTCTGAAGTTGCTTAAAGTGTGGCTATGTATTTATTATGTTGGTTGACCAGTTTTCATCCTGATAGACAAATTTAATATGAGCATCCTTTGCAATCTTTATCTTATCTCTACTCGAGTTAAATGAAACTTTATTTCTTTCATAATCTGTGCCTTCTTTGAAATACACATGTTTGACAAGCATTCTGTAATTTCCTTTTTTACTTTTACCAGACAAGGAATCTGCTGCGCATTGCTATATTCAACATCAGTTACATCAGAGGCCTTTTTCCGGAGAAATATTTCAATGACAAGTCTGTTCCAGCTCTGGGTAAGTTGCCAACTGTCATTGATTATTCATGCTAAAGTTACAGTTATTGAATAGAAATGAAGTCGTCTTCAAATTGTAACAGACATGAAGATTAAAAAACTTATGCCTATGGATGCTGAATCACGTCGACTCATTGATTGGATGGAGAAAGGTACATGGACATAAATTTCCCAGTTAAAAGGTTATTTTCTCATGCCCTGCTGAGTTAGTAGCTAATTCATTTTATGTTTTCGTTTCTTTGTAGGTGTTTATGATGCTTTGCAGAAGAAATATCTGAAAACACTCTTGTTCTGTGTCTGTGAGGCAGCGGATGGTCCAATGATTGAGGAGTATGCATGTAAGTCTTGAAATAAACTTTGTTTCAACAAACATTACTGATGTAGAGAGATAAATAATTTTTACGATTTTATATTTGAGCATATATTGATGAAGTGCCTTTCTTGCAGTTTCATTCAGCTACTCTAATACTGACAGTCAAGAGGTTACTATGAACATCAACCGTAGTGGGACAAAGAAGGGAGGGACGTTCAAGTATAACTCCACAACAGAGATAACTCCTAGTCAGATGAGGTAGTTGAATCGTGTAACTTTAGCTAACACTTTGTGGTCTAATGTTTGTTTAAGTTTTTCTATAAATAATATGGGGATTTTTATTTACAGGAGCTCAGCATGCAAAATGGTCCGTACGCTAATTCAACTAATGAGGACTTTGAATAAGATGCCAGATGAGGTGTAATTTCGGAGACAGTGATGATCTATATAGATTTATCTTGTTTTATTTCACTACGTGTACTTTCCTTTTTGATATAGCTAATTCAACTAATTACGTTTTTGCAGCGCACTGTACTGATGAAGCTCCTGTATTACGATGATGTCACGGTAGGCCTTTAATTTAGTAGGTTTCTGTGTGTGCTTTACAAGTTTAACTTGCTAATAACTGGTTGTTACTTTCAATAGTAAATCATTGCCATAAATCGTGAGAGCATTTAAGTCTTTCACATTGCATTAGTCAAATAACGCATTTTGGATTTTTCACCTGTTTATTTTTTGATATTGCAGCCAATGGATTATGAGCCACCTTTCTTCAGAGGCTGCACAGAAGAAGAAGCTCAGAATCCATGGACTAGAAATCCCTTGAAGATGGAAGTTGGCAAAGTGAATAGCAAGCATTTAGTACTGACTCTGAAGGTAAGGAATCTCAACATACATGAAAGTTGTTACATAATTTTTCGTTAGGCTTCACCACTTTTTCCGCACTATTAAAATCAACAGGTTAGAAGCGTGCTTGATCCTTGTGAAGATGAAAACAACGACAATCAAGATGACGACGAGGTTAGCTTGGGAGCTGATTCTGTCCAAAAAGACGATGATAGTGATTCAGACAGTGAGGTAATGGGTTAGTTCTACTTCAATAGTTTCTGATTCTTAAAAAAACCTCAAATTCATTACATGACCATCTTGTTTCAACATAAACGAAACTTGTAATTTTCTACCTCCCACTTCAGATCAGCAATTCTGACGATGATCAATACATCGTAGCACCCATAGGTAAAAGTCCATTCTCTTGATTACAAATCTAATCATTCATTTTGTTTTGCTGTACAGTCACACTTTTTAACATTTTGTCTTAACAGAGAAAAATCAGTTTCAAGAAGATAATGTAGCAATTGATGAAGGTGCCATATAAATCTAATTAATAAATCGAGCTCGTTCAGAAGAGATTCTAATTCTGTCTCTTTTATAGCAGACGGTACTCAGGATCCTGCAGAAGATGAACAACAGTTGGGAAGAATAAAGGATTGGATCAGCTCATACCACCTTGACACAGTTGAACTTACTGATGTCCTCTCAAATTTCCCTGACATCTCAGTGGTAAGGTTTCTTCACATGATTTCAATCCTGGTTTTGAGAAGTCAACTTTTGCTAGTCTGTGATTTTGACTCATAAATATTCAATTTGTGCAGATCTTGATTGAAGGTACATCTGAAAGGTCATTCGGTTATAACATAATATAATAGAAACACGGTCGTAATTCTGTAAATTTTGGTTGTTGAGTGATCCTAAATGTTCCTATGCTCCAGAAATTATGGACAAGCTCGTGAAGGAAAGTTTTATATCGAAAGGTGCAGAGGAGAGTTTTATCATTAATAACAGAAAGGTTATTTTTTATCATCTTTCCATTTACCACTTATATGTTCGGATTCATATTTAAAATTTGTTGACTCTTGTTTTTCTCCTCCTTATGAACCACATCTGATAATTAGAAGTTTGACTACGAGTTTGATGCTGTGAAAGAAGAAGTCGATGGACACGTGGTAGCACGTGATGGAAAATACGGAAATTCGAATGTAGATCACATGTACATGAAGGTGAATCTTTGAGTTTTTATTCTTCCATGAATTCAGGCTTAACTTGTATTTTATTCCCCCTATTTAAAAAATTTACTTTGTACTGAGTACCTACAACTTGCATCCTTAGACATAAAAAGTTTGCATGAAAATGTATATATAGGCTGTTAACCCGAGGTATATCTAATTATTGCTGCTTTCACGAGATAACAAATTCTTGCATTTAAATATTTAATTTGAAATCTCGTGCTCAACATACTAATTACGTATTTTTCAGGCTTTATATCATACACTTCCAATGAACTACATAACAGTGGGAAAACTTCAGAATAAACTCGACGGTGAAGCCAGCCAGACAACAGTTCGCAAGCTAATTGACAAAATGACACAAGATGGCTTTGTTGAGGCCAGTAGCAACCGCAGACTTGGTAAATAAAAATGTCACGACTAGGTATTTATTTTTCCTATCAAATTTAACATTTAATCACTGACAAAAATGTCATTGTCTATTGCCCCAGGCAAGCGTGTGGTCCACTCCGATCTCACTAAGAAAAAGCTGGTCGAAGTGAAGAAGCTTTTATACTCAGATGCTATGGTATAATTATAAAGAATTTATTTTATTGTACAGCTGCTAAATCATCAATTTATTTTCTTTAAATATTCTATGCTTATGATTCGAATTTATCAGGACCTGGATAAGCAGTCCAACCATCCGGAACCCGATACTGCTGGTGAACAATCTTTACCATTTTTGCTACATAACTAATAAATTCAATGCCATGATTTCCTTCATTACATTCATAATCTAATAAATTCGATTTTGTTTTCGTTTTTATTGTTGGATATTAGGAAACAAGAACAGGGACTTATCGACATGCGGTGGGCTCCACTCGATCGGATCAGATATCACACGAACAAGAGGCAGATCCGATGCATACATCAACGGCTCTACCAGGACTGAACAAGGTGTTACCAAGAAAAGAGAACATGGTGGGAATACTCCGACTAGCAGGGCTGAGGTATATATTATATATGATTCTATTTTACAGCCCTTTTAATAAATAAATAAATAAATAAATAAATAAATAACTCTGTAATTATTTTTTTCTACAGCCTGCAACTTCTAGAGAGAGTTTCGTGCCTGGTGCTGATAACGACAGAGCTAATGCGAATATTAACCAGGGTGATGACATGGACGTAGTCATGGAAAGCAGGCCTACTCAGGACAAACGGTTCAGAAAAACAAGCACGGTATGTTTAACGACGTTAATCACCGTTTAACATAATATAATTCTTACTTCTTAAGCTTTTCTCTTAATGATTTATTCGTCTTAACCGAGGAAATGTTTCAACTATTACAGGCCAAGGATCCTATTTTGCAGTACTCAAAGCGCCAGAAATCTCTAGCTGTCTGAAAATTATCGTCTTGTGCACAAAAAGAAAAGAAAATATATGTATATATATAGAGAGTTATTACTGTATATATTTCGTTTGGTTCGAATTAGTTGCAGTTAAAAAACGGGACTAGAGTTGCAATGTGGCGTCGAGATGTTATGTTAATAAGGTGGTATCTATGACTTTGGATCGAGTTTTGTAGAATGCTAATTGGTGGCATTTTCACCACTCAAACTGAATATTTGGTGTTATATATGTTTTGTTGATAGTAATTTTTGCATTATAAGTTTTTTGGATAGAGCTCTAGACTGCAGGTAAAGGTTTTGCTGCTGTTCCATTCTTTTCCAATATGATGCATGAAGGCCGAAATCGTTTTTTCAAAGCCAACCAATCGAATTCTAGGAATAATGTACTAATTGAGGCATTTGAAAAATATAAAAACAGTATTCATCCGTTAATTTTTTGTTATGAAAAGTGAAGGTGAAACTTCAGTGAGTCAACTCAGAAAAACACAATCAAACTAGCACAGCACCACATAATAGACACACACCAAAGAAGATGAAGAACACAACAATTTTATGATGTTTGAACTCAATGAGAGCCCTATGTCCCATTCCGGCAGCAATATATTCCAATCCACTAGATTCAGATATTCAGTACCCCTCACCTCACAAATGATCTCTCTCTCTCTCTCTCTCTCTCTCTCTCTCTCTCTCTCTCTCTCTCTCTCTCTCTCTCTCTCTCGCTCTCTCTCTCGCTCTCGCG